GTTGTAAACGTTCGGCGATGCTTTTCGTAAAAATTCTTCAAATGCCACGACCGGCCGCTTTTTAACTGCACCCGTAATATTCACTTTTCTTTCCAATTAAAAATCTTGTCGATCGCTTGCGAACGATTCGAACGGACGCGCCTCGATCGTCTTTTCGTATGTTCGTTCTTTTTTTCATGTTTCTTTCTTTTTTTTTTCCCCTCCGAAAAAGCTAATGACAACGACAAAGTCTATGAATTTACTCGATGAAAAAGTTTGCTCTATCCCGTTCCATATTCGCGACTAAATTTTATTCTACGATGAGAACGCAGAACGCGTTGTGCGCGGACACGCACAAATGCACACGAGTATTCGTAGTAACATGGATTAGTGCGATCTCAAACAGCGACAGAGAGAGAGAGAGAGAGAGAGAGAGAGAGAGAGGGAGGGGAGGGGAGGGGAGGGGAGGAATAGCGCAAAGGGAGTTTCGTATATCCGGCAGCGCGTTTCTAATTCCAATGCAGTTCCGAGCCGGCGATATCGTCAAACAATTACAAATGTAACAGGATTGGCAACGGTGCGTCCATGCTCGCGCGTCATCATATTGGCCATGATTACGCGTCCGCAATGGGAACTAACGTGGGCGTACGCTTTCGCTCACGCCGTACCTTCTAATCTGATTACTTATTAGTTTGTGTTAGAATCGAAATAGGCCAGTTCTCCGTTTTCCCTGAATCGTTGATGAGAGATGAGAAATGAGAATTTTGTCGTTATAATCTGTATTATTTGCCAAAGTATTTTCCAAATAATCATCGGGAATTTTCCCACCAGGATGAAAAAAATTAACATCCACGTAGAGCACGATGATCAATTAAAATGTTCTTTCGAATTTTCTACCCTTCTATTTATCGTCATCGAGACGCACGTGCTTATTGCACATGTGTACGTTGGAATCCTTCTTCCTTCCAAATCGATCACGTAATTACGCTTCGTCGAACGGACACCCGGATGTACCAGACGTTACGCTCGGAGATTCTAATCTGATTAGCGATTAGTTAGAGTTCGAATTATAACGTTAAAGCCCTGGAAAGCTTTACCATACGAAGAGCAAATAGCGTAATAACGTCATTAAATTATTGAAATATTTCGGTGCACGTACATATATCAAAACTAGAAAAATATAGACGGTAATGTATTTATAATATCTGAACATTCGTAACGATCGTACGTGATGTTGCCGTAAATATGTTTAATTTCATTTCGTACCATATCTGGAATATCTGAAATATTTATCCTTAAAATCCTACGATCATATTTCCGGTTCCTTTCATCTAGTAGTTAATTAATATTGGCATTTTAAAAGTGACATCTTTCATAAATTTCGAAAGCTCATGAAGATATAATGAGCTTATTAACGAAAAGCCTAAAATGAATTCTTTACGGAATTCGTTTCGTCGTTCGATCCTTTTCCTTTCTTGGAAAAAGTAATAATAATTGAGATATTAAAACGATCGCGATCGATAATTTTCGTTCGGCCGATTAATTCTCGATTCGAGGAAAAATCGTGGAAATAACGATAAAGGAATGGAACTTGGCGACGATCGAGCTCGTTTATCGTTAAACAATTCGTTTTCTTTCTACGCGATTGATTTTTTTCATCTTCTATTTTCGTTAAAGTCTCGTTAAATTCCTCACGGTCCTTTACGATACCCACGAATAGATCTCAAATGAAGAGAAGGTAAAGGAGGACGGTCACGCGCGAACGCGTGGAATTTAAAATGGTCCCCATCTCGTATAATATTCCCGTGGACCAGTTTTCTTTCTCGAGGAAATCTCGAGCGAAGAAGGAGCATCGAAGGGAGAGAGAGAGAGAGAGAGAGAGAGAGAAATAGGAGCAGGGGGGATGAAAAAGACGAAGGCAGATAGGTATATAGCTTCTTCGCGTATGGTAGGCAGTAGAGATAGACGAAGAAAGGAGAAAGAAGATAAAGAGAGAGAGAGAGAGAGAGAGAGAGAGAGAGAGAGAGAAAGTAGTTAAATATAAAGGAGAGAAAGAGAAAGAGAATGAGAAGAGTGAGCGCGAATTAGCGAACGTCGGCCCTCGGATTCCCGTCGTGATAGCGCGATGCATACGTAATGCGTTTCACGGCAGGCTGCCTTTGCGACCTCTCTCTTTCTCCCCCCTCTCTCTCTCTCTCTCTCTCTCTCTTCCTCTTCACTCTCTTCCATTCTTCAACAACAAGGATCTCTTTTTGCGGCGGCCGTCATAAGTCCGTTCTCGTCCTTTCGAGACCCTTGAGCGCTTTCAGCGTGATGCATCCAACGAGAAGGTGTTAGTAAGAGGAGAAGAGAGAGAGAGATCCTTTTTCGCGAGAGTCGCGGGGGTGGGCGAAAGAAAGAGAGAAAAGAAAGAGCTCTTGGTTTATTCTCGCGTCGTACTTGGTTAACGGCGGCCGTAAGGATGAGAGGACCGACTCCCAAAGATTCCGCCATTGTCCGACGCCTCATCTTCTTTCTTCCTTCTGAAAAAAGGACCTCTTGGCACCTGCACCGACGCCCTCGAGATGCACCACTTCTTCTCTTCCCCTCTCTGCTTCTTCTTTTTCTTCTTATTCCTCTTACTTCTTCTTTCTCTTCTTCTTCTTCTTTTTTTCTTCTTCTTCTTCTTCTTCCTCTTCGATCTTTTACTCTTTACTTTTTTTTTCTTTTCCTTTTTTTCCACTCCTTCTCGATCTCATATAAATATAATATCATCGAAATCATTTTTATACGTCGTTCACGTGAAATGCAATTCCGTATCCCATAGTTAAATTTATATTTTATTTATTCATAGAAAAATTGCATTTATTTTCATTCGAATATCTTTTATAGTATTATTTCATGTATATGTATATATATATATATATATATATATATATATATATATATACACGTGTATAATGGACGTTCGTCTATGGACGTAGAAGTGCAGAAAAACCATGAAAATCTCGTTTGATAACGCGCGGTTATTTAAAAGTGGAACGGAAACACGTAGTGTTATTATCTAACATCTTTATGTCCCCTAAATCATCTACTCCTATCGGCGTTTTTTTCTCTTTCTTTCTTTTTTTTTCTTTTTTTTTTTTTTTTTTGTAATTTTTCCTAATAGCTCGTTTCCATATCTCATTGCGTAATACACGTTTTGTCAGATTCGTCGATGATGTGCTTTTTCTTTTTTTTTTTTTCTTTCTTTTGTTCAGAAGTCATATTTATCATAAGGATCCATAAAGATCATAATTATTGTAGAGTTAAAATTTGCGACAATATTTGCCTCGGAAATTTTCTTTATTATAGCAAAAAAAAAAAAAGAAAAGAAACTCGCGAATGCATTTGTGTCGTATTTTAACTACGCTGATTATTCGTCACGTCTCGTTATAGTTGTAGTTGTAACGTAGTAGAGTTGAACGAGGCTAGACACGGATCGCCGGTTGCAGCTGTTTCGTATCGTTCGCATGTGCAAGCACGTTTCCATGACGAAAACGGCGCCGAGCATCGACCGCCCTCGCGATCTCCTCGCCTACGTTCTCGTGCTCGTTTAATACTTCTTCCTTGATTTCAAGAGCTACCGAAACGAATTTCGCTGTATCGGGGAGAGAGAGAAAGAAAGAGAGAGAAAGAGAGATAAATAAGGAAAGGATAAAATAAACGTAATGATGTCCAAGCGATCGTTGGATAATAGCCGATCTGTGAGAAATGAATAATAACGTATAAAATTTATGGCAATGAAAGAGAGAAAGAAGGAGATAGAAAGATAGTTCGTATTTCAATACGGCACAGAGAAATGTAAAGTTTTATTAACGTCATTTCGTTTCCATGCTATTTTAAAACTCATTATGGCAAATTAAGTGGCACTTTCATTCTCTCTCTCTCTCTCTCTCTCTCTCTTCCTTTTACTTTTATCTTTACCACGGGCAAAATTATACAGCAATCGTATTAAATCAAAGTTTACCGCTTATAATCAATCATGTAGGTAGAAATATATATATCTATGTTTAGGTAGCATGTGGTTTAGTTCAATGAGAAATACCGAAAATCGACGGGGTCGCACGCAAAGTCGCGAGCGAGATTCCTCCTTTGCCTCTCTCTATCTCTCTCTCTCTCTCTCTCGCGCTCTCTATCGTCTGACGACGAGCGGAAAGCTTCGAGGATCCAATTTTCTCTTCCGACGCTTTGCACCCTTTGCTATCGCGTGTCGTATCGCAATTTCGCGTTAACGCGTTAATACGTTATTAACGATCGAGCCACGATGCGATGGTTAGAACGCCATGGCTAAAAGCTTCGAAATATGTGTTTGGCTTCCTAGTTTCTGAGGAGGATCGAGTTAAGTTCTACCTACGAGAAAGATTATGTCTTACGTATGTTCGACGTAATTTAATTCTTTTCACAATAAATTTGAATTTACACTAACGAGTAATATACAGAAACAAATATATATGTATATATGTATATATATTATTATTATTATTATTATTACAAGAAAGTAACGTCGAACATTTTAAATAGGAGATAATAAAGGACAATGAAATGAAATATATTAGTTAAAAGGTTGACGCTTTGGAATCTTTTAGCTTGCATTTTGAATATATAAATATAACTTATCCGTATGGCAATCGGTGTTAATGACATCGTTAAGATGCTAGAGAACACTCCGGTTTAATAACGGTCCATAACTCTCTCTCGGTAAACATGGTGTGTACTTGAAACGAAGCATATGGTGTAACACCTCGGCTACATCTTATTACTGGTGTAAAAAGCGACGGGAGCTTAAGCCGACGCATATGGGAGCATCGCTATTTTATTGGTTTACCTTTTTTCTTTTTCCTTCTTTTTTTCTTCTACTTTTTCTTCTTTTAAAGCCCTAACAGAAGGGAAGATTCTAATAATAAACTTTTAACTTATTTATACTATATATATATATACTTAATTTTATTTTATTTCTATGCACACGAAACCGCTAATCGTAAATTATTTTTTGATTTCAGATTATTGGCTTACCTGTTTCAACATAATCGATTCCAGTGTACGTACACAGGGAACTCCGCCATAATCACTTATTATAAATCGAGTTGAACGCGTTCACGTTCATCCAGCTGCATTTGCCGGTGATTTCATTTGAACAAGGTAACCCGATGTTTGTTCGAGGAAAGTTCTAATCCCGGAAGCGAGTGCATCGGAAATGTTGAGACTCATAACAGAAACTAAATTATGACTTCGACTTTATCTTACCGATAAAGTAAACCTTCTTAACGAATCTCTTAGCAACGGCTGGGTCGTTTGTTCGATCGTTTTTTTTCCGTTCGTTCGTTCGTTCGTTCGTTCGTTCGTTCGTTCGTTTCGCTAATGACAATCCTTGGCGAAAATGATTAATTTATTTGTTAGAATCGTGATTCGTTTTACGAAGTAGTAAAAGAATTCTATCGCCACCTGGGCAAATTGTAATCGAGAACGCAAAATTCTCCAAGAGACAAAGAAATATAAACGAGTTACGAAGGTAATGCCTTTGATTATCGATACGCAAAATGAGATTGGCTGAGAGTATTTTTGCGAGGAATAAGAAAACTAGGAAGCCTGTCTTGTTTCGTTTCTTAAGAGAAAAAGGTAGGGGAAGCAGGCAGACGTAAACATAGAATAAGTGAAATTCACGGTTCAGAGAAAATGAGAGAAAGAGAGGGGGAGCGAGGGAGAGAGGGAGAAGAGAAAAAGAAAAAAGAAGTCTTTCTCTTCATTTTTCTATGACGCACGGTTTTGCCTCGTTCGTGTCTTTTTCGTGTAAAGTCGTCGATATATCCGGTATTAGGACTGTTTTGATGTTTCTCTTATAAACCTGACCGCGTTGTCTAGTTGCATCTTCGTTGAAGCAGAGAAGATAGAACGAACGAGAAAGAAAGAGATAGAGAGCTAGATCTTTATCGACTTTTTCTCGTCATTTCATCGTCGTTTCGATAAAGATAAAGAAAAGGAGAGAGAGAGAGAGAGAGAGAGAGAGAGAGAGAGAGAGAGAAATAAAGGAAAAATTCTACTACAAAATCCTGAATAATGTAGCGCTTCGTGAACTTGGAAATGGCCGAGAACGTACGAAGCTTCTGGATAATGTTGTGAATAGCTTTTCGGAAAGAGAGAAAGAGAGAGAGAAAGAGAAACGAGTTTAAATCGGCAGCGTTGAGCCAAGGCTCCGATCCGAGCACGTCTTTCTTTTTCTTTTCTTTTTTCTCCATTTCGTTGTCTTTCAGCCTTTCTTTAGATAAGGACACGTTCTCGCATCGCGTACTTCCGATCGTTACGTCGATTTTTATCGACGTCTTCGGGCGTGACGAGGCGGAAGAGATAAAAAGAAAGAGAGAGAGAGAGCGAGAGAGAGGGAGAGAGAGATGAAAATAAAGAAATAGATGTACAGACGTTCGACATTATTTCAGCATTGAAAAGAGAATCTTTCACGGAAGTCCCCACGAAGACATTGTAACTCGATTTGTCCGTCACTATTCGTTCTAGCTTACGAAAAAGAATCTATATAGATTATTCAGTTTAATATGAAAATATAAAGGGAAAGAGAGAGAGAGAGAGAGAGAGAGAGAGCGTTATCGTCGATGGAGGATAATAAATTAGGTGGTATAATTAGTACAAAACGATTCGAATCTGGAGCGACGACAATAATAGGGGGAGTGCTAAAAAGCAAACACCGTAGACGTCCTGCTACTATGCATTTATGTAGGTTACGCGTGATTTACGTTCACCGCAGTTACGTTATCACGGATATCGAAGTTCCGGCCGCTTAATGAAATTATCATCGATGTTTATACGGCACAGTACACACGCTTTGCGGTTGGCCCTCCTAACATTTGCGTTGTTTCCATCTAAATGACATTTCGATTAAGCCGATCTGTTGTAAGCACCTGACGTCGACGTTCATAAAATCATGATTGTTCATTTTTATTTTATTCATTTTTTCTTTCCCCTATACTTTTGCTTTCTTTTTTCTTTTCTTTTCTTCCTCCCTCTCCCCCATCTCCACCCCTTCTCCTCCCCTCACGTTAATCCTTTAGTCCCTTCTTAAAGTCAAAATCAAAGGAGATCATATACTTCGCGGAGGTCCGAGGAAAAGCAGCCGGGAAAACCGGTCACGGTTACGGCCGAGGATTATCATGTCGAGAGGAGGAGGAGGAGGAGGAGGAGGAGGATGATGAGGAGCGTAGAGGTTAAGGGAGGCAGGTGGTAGGGAGGGAGGGAGGGAAGGACTCGAAACGAGGTAAAAATTGATTCGGCAGGTGAAACCTCCGGCTCTGTTCTCTGTTGATTTAAGCAACGTACCGGCTGTGCCGTGCTCTATAATCATGCCGAGCACTCCGTTATTACTCCGCCGCCAGTGCCTATCTTCTCTCTCAGCCTCTTCTTCCGTCCTCGTTCTCTCTTTCTCTCACTCTTTTTGCTTTTTCCTTCTTTTTCCTTCTCGTTCCTTCTCTCCATCCACGTCTTCGTCTCTTTCTCGATGCGATTCCCTCCCAGGAACGACGAGTCTTTCTCTCTCTCACGCGCGCGCGCGCGCGTACTCACACACACATTCACTCCATCTTTTTTTTCCTCATCTCTCGCTATCTCGCTCGCACTCCTTTGTTTCTCAACGGATCTTCCTTCTCTCTTTCTCCCCTTCGTCTTCTTTTTCTTCCGGCCTCTCTCTTTATCTATCCAACATTCCATCTCTCTCTTTCACTCAGTCACTCACTCACTCTTTCACAGTCACTCTTTCGGTTCTCGAGAGACTCTTTCGTTCGACTCCACGCTGCATCCTCGGTAACGAGGATAACGAGGATCGACTCTAAAACCGCAAATAATAAATGCTTTTCTGTGGCCCGTAACGTCGTAAAATTCGAAGCGTGATCTTCTTGCACTGCCGGAGAGAAATCGGTGCGAGCGAGAAGAGAACAGAGGGTATATGTGTCTATACGTGTGTGTGTGTGTGTGTGTGTATGTGTGTGTTTGTGTATGAGAGAGAGAGAGAAAGAAGAAAAGAATTCCGGCAATCGAACCGAAGGAATTCCAAACGCGAAGAAGGAAGGTTCCACCAAGTGGGTCCAAGTCGTAGCGAAAATTAGTAAGAAATGAAAGCTCTCATTGTTTTCTCTTCCCTTCTTAAGGACTTTGCTCGATGTCTTTTCGATCGTTTGTTCGTTCAAGCATCTTGGAAAAGTAGAAATGACTAGAAGAGAAAAAGTGAATGAGAGAGAGAGAGAGAGAGAAAGAGAAAGAAGGAAGGAAGAAAGGAAGAGAAGATGGCCGATTGTTTCCGGTTATTCTTGGATTCCTTTGTGATTCGTCCCTTCTCGAATCGTTTCCTCCTATTTTCTGGATGGAATAAGTAGCTATCGAAAAATATTTCCTAGATGAAAGCAACCCCTCTAGTAGTAGATGGTAACCCTTCTCGCAAGAAAATAATAAATATCGATGGTTTTCGAAGAAATTCGACAAATTTCACGGGAACGTGGTAAGCCTTACGGCAGTTTTAATAAATTCGAAAGGAAAGTAGTACCCACGTAGATTTACTCGAAGAATGACTAGATGGTCGTAGCACGAATAGGCCCGAGTGGATACATCCGTGTATGTAAATATATATATATATATATATATATATACGATAAAATGGCTCGTGCGGACTCGTCTCTCGAAACGAGCGGGAATTTCGAATACACGCCTCCTTTCAACGAGTGGAAAAAGAAAGCGGTGAAGAGGAGGAGGAGGGAGAGAATGGGGAAAGAGGATGTAAGAAACGGAAAGCGATACCGTAGAGACAAAACGATCGTCCACCCACGACTTAAACATTAACCCTCCTCCCAGCGACACGCACTAACATAGGCACGGGCGCGCGCGTGTTCGAGCAAGTAAATTGTAGTCGCCGATGTCCGCCCCATCGTTGCGCGTGCGTATAACTTCCTTTTATTTATACCATTTTGAACCGTTTCACCAACGTCTAACGCCTCCTCCTCGGCTTGTCAAGCCTGGGACATCGTGTCATTTTTTATTTCTTTAAAGTCGCCTTCAGAGAGTAAACGAGAGAGAGAGAGAGAGAGAGAGAGAGAGAGAGAGAAACAAAGGAATACGCTGCTCTTTCCCTCTCTCTCCACCTTCTCTCGTTCTTCTCATTCCTGTCGTTGACTATGTTTATTCAAATGAGAGACTTGTAATTCGGCAATTCACTGGGCCCCAACGACTCACCACCGTGCAGTGTCTAAAATCGAATGACGTTTCGTGTTATGCGCCAAGAAATTCCATTCGAAAATTCCATCCTTTTCTCTCTCTCTCTCTCTCTCTCTCACGCACATCCTTTTCTCTTCCCTACTCCCTCGTATCTCTCTCTTCTTCTTATTCGTTTTCATCCTCTCTCAGAAAATTCTCGACGATTTTCGAAAAGACCCAATGTCGCACGTAAATTTATCGACTCGTTTCTTCACCTGTACGCAAAGCCTGTTTTCCATCTTAGCTTCGCTTATTTCAATCCAACCGAGCGAGATACTTGAACGAGCCCGGTTCGTCGAATTCTTACCATTCGCTTCGTCCTTTTATTGTTCCTTGAAAAGCGAATAATCCGTGAGATTGGTAATCGCATTATGCGGTTTCATCTTTCGAAAGTGCTCTAAAGCGTTTCTGAAACGGTCCGATTATGGATGGATGGTCGTAAGTTTTCCTTAGAGTTTCATTCGGCGAAACTCTTTACGAATGTTTCCAAAGAAGATCCGTTAGAACTTTTATCGTCGTAATCGTTGCGCAATCCAATATTTCCGATAAAGCGTATCATCGAAAAATGTTTTTGAGAATTTACCACTTGACTCGTGCACGCGCGTCTCTTTCGCGTGTCGTATCGTATCGTGTCGTGTCGTGTCGTGTCGTGTTGTTCGTTCGTTCGTGTATCCACATACATACATAACGTCACACATTGAACGATACAAACAGCTGCTGTTCATCCTCGAAAGAGAATCTATATTCGGTGCTCCAAATGAAATCCGAAACGCGAAGGTGCCACAGAACTTGGCC